TTTTTGGTGAGCTTTAGAAAAGCGGCAGCTTTTAAAATCCACTGTTCCATATCAGCACCCTCTGCTCCAGCGCCCGAACAAAACCCCCGGGGCTGCGGCCCCCGCGCCATTAAAACATCCTCGGGACCTTTCTTCTCCTTTTTCCTCCTCTCTTTTTTTGTTTTTCCTCCTTCCCAAGGTAAACGCTTTTATTTCTTTGAAAATGAGAGAGGAAGGGAAGGGAAGCGCCTTTGATGGAGAGGGGCCCCCCCACTCCCATCTCACCGACTCCAAAGGCTTTACAGCAGATCCCGGCAGCGCACGAAGGTGCTGGGGAAGGATTTGGGGGGTCGGGCACTGCCCCCCACCCTCCCAGGGCTGGAGAACCTCTGGGAATTCCCAGATTCCGCATCCTGGGAATGCGGGAGGCAGGTCCTGACCCCCCCGAGGTGACACCGCGCACCCCAAAGCGGCAGTGGGGACCCCGAATGTGCCCCTCTCCCAGCAGGAGATGGCACCCCTGGATCTCAGCTCCTTCAGGGCTGCTTTTGGGGTCCCGCAGGTGCTGCCACAAACGCCCCTTGCACCGGGATTGAGCCGAGTTTTCCCTTGGGATGTTCTGGTTGGAGCTGGGAGCGGGGATCCCACATCCCCCTCCTCACCTGCCCTAAAGAAGCTCCGCTTTCCCCCCCAAATATCCCGCATTTAGGAAAAGCCACGGAGCCGTTCCGGGATCCCGGGAGCGTTTATCCCATTCCCAGGGTGGGTTGGGAGCGGGTGGCTCCGCTCCCGGGATTTGGGGGACCCGGGATTCGGGGTATCCAGCTCCCGGGGGAATTTGGGGTATCCAGCTCCGGGGGATTTGGGGCACCCGCTCCTGGAATTTCGGGTATCAGCTCCCCGGATTCGGAGCATCGCTCCCGGGATTTGGGGGACCCGGGATTTGGGGTATCCAGCTCCCGGGGGATTTGGGGCATCCTCTCCCGGCATTTCGGATATCAGCTCCGGGGATTTGGGGTATCCTGCTCCTGGGGGATTTCAGGCACCCGTTCCCGGCGGATTTTAGGGACCCGCTCCCGGATTTGGGACGCCCAGGTTTTGGGGCACCCGCTACTGGAATTTCGGGTATCAGCTCCCGGGATTTTGGGGGTGATTTAGGGCTCCACGCCCCCCGTGTGGGACCCACCGAGTGTTTCCCCAGCTCAGCTCCCGCTTCCCAGCGCGTCCCAAATTCCCGCTGAGCCACCCCCGGGGCGCGCGAGGCTCAAATCCTTCCCCTCACTCCTGCTTTGCTTGGAAACCGGGGAAAACTTCGCTTTTCCCACCCCAAACTCCCAAAAAGGCTCCAGCAGCCTCCCGCCACCCCGCTCCCACCCTCTCCTTCTCTTCGCCATCCCAAAAAACGAATTGATCCCATTTTTTCCCTTGGAAAACGAAGGGGGAGAACCAACCGTCTCCTAATTTTAACCAGTACGTGAGGGACCAGGGGGCCATGACGGACCAGCTGAGCCGCCGCCAGATCCGCGAGTACCAACTCTACAGCCGGACCAGCGGCAAGCACGTCCAGGTCCGCGGAAAAAGGATCACGGCCACCGCCGAGGACGGCAACAAATTCGGTGAGGAGCTGTCCCGACCCCGGCCGGAGCTCAGGGAATCGCCCGGGAAGCGCCTCTTCCCAAATTATTCTTTAGGAGGGATGCGGGAATTCCGGCTCCGCCTAAAAAATCCGCGTGAAAAACAAACAAACAAAAAAAAATTATAAAAAAAAATTTGTTTCTCTGGGAAAAGTCAGCTCTGACCTCAAAAGTTCCAAAATCGTGGATTTCTCCGGTTTTGTGCGGTGTTTATAATTCCCAGATTTAGGGGTTGGTGCTTTGTAATCCCTTCCTGCAGACAAAACAGCTTTTCCCGGAGAAAAATCCTCTGATCCCGACATCCTCCTCCTAAATATCCATCACTGGTGGGCAGATCCCAGCTTTTGTTTTTTATTTTTCCCTCGTTTTTTTTTTATTTTTCTCCCCTGCATTTATTTTTATTTTTGTTTTTCCCCTCCTCTTTTATTTTTATTTTTACCCCCCCATTTATTTTTACTTTCCCCCCGGTTTTATTTTTATTTTCCCCATTTTTATTTTTTTATTTTTTATTTGTGTTTTATTTATTTTTTTTTATTTATATTTATTTTTAATTTTATTATTATTTATTTATTTTAATTTATTGTTTTCCCTGTATTCTCCCGCCCGTGCTCCCGGATTTCCATGTGGCTCTGGAGCCGGGAATGCTGTGGAGGAATAATGGGGAAAAGGAGCCTGGTGGGTGCTGGGTTTGGTCTGGCACAGAATTCCTGGCGAATCCACGGAATTCCTGGCAAATCCACGGAATTCCTGGCGAATCCACTGAATTCCTGGCGAATCCACAGAATTCCTGGCGAATCCACAGAATTCCTGGCGAATCTGCAGAATTCCCGGGGCTGTGCCTTCATCACCCGCCCAGTTTGGGTCTCTTTGGCATCACGGATAGGGAAATTCCCTGGAAAATGAAATTTTTCCTTCCCCTGAGGAGTCTCAGAAGGATTCAGATTCCTCCAAGAGACAAAAATAATCCCGGGAAAAACTTCCTTGGAAGGAACCTGAGGCCGCCCCGAGCCGCGGGAAGGAGCGACTCCTGCTTTTCCCAAAGAAATCACATTTATTTTCCCCCTCTTTTTTTTTGGGGGGGGGAGAGGGAAGCAGCAGGGATGGGGATGGGAACAGGGGGATTTTGGGTCTGGGGGTGTCACAGCCCCCCAGGACACGTCCCCTCCCCGCAGCCAAGCTGATCGTGGAGACAGACACCTTCGGGAGCCGCGTGCGCATCAAGGGCGCCGAGAGCGAGAAGTACATCTGCATGAGCAAGAGGGGGAAACTCATCGGGAAGGTGAGTCCTGGACACCCCAAATCCCCGGGGAGCGGCTGGGGGGTCCCGGCTGGGCTGATCCCCCCACCCTCGGGGGCTCTGGGGGCTCCCTGGAGGCTGCTGGGGAGGATCTGGGGAGCTGCTCCCAATGTCTGGGGCTTGAATCCATAGGGAATGGGGTGAGGATGGATTTGGGGTGATCAAGGTGGGGTTTAAGGTGATCAGGTTGGGTCTTGGGGTGATCAGGGCAGGTTTTGGGGTGATCATGGCAGGTTTTGGGGTGATCAGGGTGGTTTTGGGAGGTGGCAGGGGCAGGCTGGGCTGTTCCAGAGATGGTGACAAAGGTGACCCAGGGAGTGGCAGGAACGGGATGGAGGTGACACAGGACAGGGGCTGGGGTGACACAAACGGGTTTTAGA